AAGGCTTGTTACCTGAGAGAAGAAGGAGCAACGGAAAATAATGTGTCAGTGGCATCTTCTCCTGCCCCCTGATGACCCCTGTGTCAACACTGTTGTTCTAGCCGGCCAAGCACTCTGGGGTCGAGGTTCTGTGTGTGATGACCTTATGGGCCCTGCCCAAGTACACCGGCACTCCTGGCAGGAGGGGCCCTGGTTCACAGGCTGCCTTCATTTTCCATGTGCACACTATTTCAGGATGTGGCCCGTCCCTAGTGCTTTCCCGAAGCTGTCCCTGCTCCAGGAGACCTGTCTTCTTAGGAGACTAAACTGTAAGATGAGGCAAATTCATGGGCAGGGGAACACTGATCCTGGCTGATGCCAAGAAGGTTCCGGCTGGGGGATACTCCTCCCAGTCCTAACCACTCATGTGGGCTGGGAACCTGCTCTGCGTGGAAGCTTCTGAAGCAGGTGTTACCTCATGCTCGTAGGAAACAGAGGCACAGAGAGGTGCAGCAGTGTGTCCCAACCTTTCCCGCTCTTGCGCCACATGAGCGGGAAAACTGGAGGCAGAAAACTGAAAGTAACCTGAGGAGCATCTGTTTCAACTCCTCATGTCCTACGTGGGGTCCAGAGAGGGGAGCAGCCTTAGCTAAAGACACACAGTTAATTGGAGGAAGAGCCTGGTCCTGCACCTGGACCTCCTGGACCCCACTCCAGTGCGTTCCCAGAGCGCCACCGTCTACTGAGGACACTGGGCCCCGCTGCGCTCACTGAACGGGGGTCCTTGGCCCCCTGAGGCAGGTGCCTGCGTGCCACTACACCTGCTTTCCTAAGAGCCTGTCAGACAGCGGTAACCTGCCTGGTCACCATTGAGAGCAGAGTGGGTGCTCGTGGTGTGTTTGCTGGCTGACCGATGACCTCTTGCTGTAGGACTAACTCGCCGAACCCCTGGGCCCAAATCTGACACAGTCCTCCCTTATCCTGGCCTCCTTTTCAGCTAGCCCCTTCCTTCAATCTGCAGCCCAGGCCACGGGCAGCCAAGCCTTGCTCTGCATATCCCCCTGCCAGCGTGGAGGCTCACTGTCGGGAAAGGTGGCCCTCGTCATGAGCTCATTCCCCCAAGTGGAGGAAAAGGGCTGCGGGACTCGCCTGGCGTCCTTGGCCTCCACTCAGGCTCCCAGTCCGGGTAATGCTTTCCCAGCACCATCCACCCAGACTTCTTGGTAACCTGATGTTCTGAGACAAACTCTCTTCCTGCCGCCACTGCTAATGACATTGCATTATCTTAATAAGGTCCCCAGAGCTGCCAGGAGTGGGAGAACTAAAAAGAAAATGCCCTTTCTCACCACACCGCCCCCCCCCCCAAAAAAAAAAAAAAAAAAAAAACAGAAGCAGCAACAGCAGCCAGGCTCCTGGCCTTGTCTGGGAGTGGACAGCTGTCGGGCAGGGCAGGATGGTCAGTGTTTGGCACTGGAGGCAGGGTGCTGGAGACTAAAGATCGCAACCTTTGGCGATATGGATAGGGGATTCAGTGGAAAGCATGAAATCATGGCTCATCAGAGGATGGTTTTTCAGGGTATGGAGTGTGTCCATTCTTTCCCAGGGCCTTGTGGGAGCGGGTGGGGGGAGCTAAATTATCCTGGGAGCTGGCCCCTTCTTAAGTGTTGCAGTTTCTTGCCTTTAGTCCTTGGTCTGGCAGACATGGCAGGGGTGATTTTGAGAGCCAGGCTGGGTGCAGGGGGCTGTGAATGGGCTGGAGTGTTGCAAGGGGAGGATTGCCCACTTGTTCTCTGAGCTTTCCTGGCAAGTGGGTAGGCAAGGGGGCCCCCCTCCCCAAAAGGGTGGCCTGTGGGGAGGACTAAATCTCTCACCTTGCCAGGCTCTCACATGCCCTTCTCAAGGTCTGCCCCAGGGGCCCCCTCTGACAAAAACGCCACAGTCTGGCCTTGGCGCCAGACGTTCTGGGAATAGAGTTAAAGTCCTGACGCGGAGGGTGTGGAGGAATCTGGTGCGGATGCCTCTACCCGGTGTCCGGACACCTTTGCTCTCTTCCAAGTCAGAGCTACGGACCCATTTCAGCAGCATGTGTCCTTCCATGGCCGGTTCAGGCACCAACTTCTCTCAGAAGGTGACCTTGAGCCAGATCAGGAGACTCGGGCCCAGCAGAGGGACTCAGCACGCAAGTGACTGTAAGTACCAGATCTAGGAGAGGAAGCCTGGGGCCAGGGAAGCAGAGTCCGGGTAAAAGCTTTGAGGACCTGCCTGGGGTCCCAGAGGTGTCTTATGTCTGGAAAAATACATGGTAGGACCCTGGTGGGGCTGGCTGAAATCTAGAGCTGACGCAGAGGTAGTTTCTGACACCAAGGGACAGGTGTGACTGTGAAGACTAGGACGGCCCTGACCCTTCCCAGAGACACAGGGAAGCTCGGGCCGGGCCTTAGCGGTGGGCGGCCGTCTGTGGAAAGGGCCCAGGGCCCTGAACTGTGGTCGCGAAGGTCAGAAATGCTGTCCCTGGGGAACATGGACATTCTGGGACTCGCCAACTGCGGCTGTAATTAGGAGCCTGGGCCACCAGAGGGCCACCTGGTGGGGGCGGGCAGCCCCCCAACATCCTCAAGGAAGGGCAGGAGGTGGAGTCCACATCAGGAGGGAGGCAAGGAGGGAGCAGCAGCCTAGCTGCCATTAAGGAGACCAGGGCTCCGAAAGGGAAAGTGTCCAGAAAGAGGGCTGAGGCCTGCAGGTCTGGGGCCGCTCACCCTCTGGGGGCCTGTCTGGGGGAGAGGCCTGGCAAGGCAGTCCAGGAAACTCCTCAGAGGCTGCTGTAAGTGGCCGCTGAAGGACCTCCTGCTGAGGAGGGAGAGAAAGTGTCCTGGGTGGTGATTGCGGGGGAGGGGAGGGATCTGCCTTGGAAAGGCCCCCCCCCCCCACTGGCTGCACAGATACCCTCCCCCAAACCTGGACCAGCTGGGATGGGGACTTTTTAAAAAGATTTATTTATGCACACAAGAATTGGGGTGTAGGCCGGAGGTGTGGGGGTGGGGTGAGGGGCAGGGATTTTTGAGGACTGAACGGAATTCTTGCTGGGCCTAGGGGGTTTGTCTGCTCCTGGGAAGACTGAGTGGGGGAGATCCAAGAGCCTTTCTTGATCTTTCTCAGGAGGGTCAGCGCCCAGCGGGAGGCGGGTAAAGGGGAGGTGCTGAGGGAGGCTGGAATGCAGCTGCTTCAGCTGGAGACATGCTTGGGGGCCCAGATGGTGGCCATTCTGCTGAGCAGGAGTAAACCAGGGCAGGCCAGGCAGGGGCTGGAGGGCAGGGGAACAGGAACCACCCCGAGGCTGGTCTGGCCTGGAGGGCTGGGGAGGCTGCAGGCATAGAGGCCAAGTGCTCACCAGGAATGTGCTGGGAGAGACAGTTCTGGAATGCAACCCTCGACAACACAGCATGGCCGCCCAGCCAGGTGACCCGCTCACAAGAAAGTTCTAGTGTCAGGAGAAGAGCAGTCTGTCTGCAATGACAGACACGTTTAAAACGTACCCTCAAAAAGGCAGGGGCCACAGGCTGACCTTCACAGAGAGCGGGGTGTGGAATTTCCCGGGAAAGCCTTGCTCTGACATGATACCCAACTTGATTTAAAAAATTCACTCAGAGGCCGAAACTTTGGATGCAAGGAGGAAAACTGAAAGAAGGAGCCCCTGCAATTCCCAAAGATACATTTCTAAGAGGGTGTGTGCAGGGCAGTGCCAGCACCCCGGAAAGCATGTGGTCTGTTCAGGGGAGTTCTCGGGGAGGGACAGTGACAGCGTGGGAGAAGGACCCTGTGTAGGCAGGCCTGGTCACAGGGTGGCGGCCCACGTCTGACACTCTGAGCTCCCCTCATGTTAGGCCGCTCGCCAGAGCCTTGAGGATTAAGACCCGGAGGTAGACAAACCTGCCCTCCAGCTTTGCCAGCAGAATCTGCTGTGCCGGGGCCCTCACCCCTTGATGCATGGATGGTGGTGAGGAAAGACGGAAGCTTTACAATCTACTGATTTTAAATTCTGTAACGGCATGGAGTTGACCCTCTCTCTAAAATGAGAGGCAAGGAGTCCTTCCTTTAGGCCTGACCCAAACGAGGAGTGAAAGGAAACTTAGGGGAGCTATGGCCTCACAGTCACAGCTGGACTGGACTGCTGGCAGCTGCCCTCGCCAGTGGCCCACTAGCCGCTGGGAGCTAGGTCTGTGACGAAAGCACAGCACCTGCCGCCTCCCAGGTGAGGCTGGATTGTGTCTACCTGGTGCCCTTAGGTACCGGTACCCCTGGCAGGCTGGGCATGCTCCAGGGACAGTAAAGGGCGGCACCCACTGGAGACCTTCAAACCAGCACCTGTCAGTCTCGGCGATGGAGCGGGAGGACGGCCAGCCGGCAGGGTGGGTGCCGAAGCCCTCACTGCTGCCGAAACCAGGACAGCTCTGCCCGTGTTTTGTGTCTCAGCCTTCCAGCCAGTAATGCATTTGAGAAAATATTTTCGTTCTTAAGTGGAGTTTGAAAACCTGCACCTAGCATACCTAGCGTGCCGACCTTCCGGCAATGAACTTGATGTGCGTCTGGGATCTAGTTAGACAGCCCCGGAGCTGGGCTTCTTTCCATCCTGCTCCTCCATGGCTGCCTGCTGTCATCACCTTGGCCTCTGACCCTCTCCTCCAACCCCTGACCCTCTCCCTGACATCCTGACCCACTGACCCATCTCTCCTCGGCACCCTAACCCTCTCTCCTGTAGCCTGGCCCTCTCCCCAACCCCCTGGCCCTCCCTAACATCTTAACCCTCACCCCCATGACCTGGCTCTCTCCATGACCTCCAACCCTCTCCACAGCACCCTGACCCTCTCCCCAGTGCCCTGGCCCTCTCCCTCACCCCCACCCTCTCCCCGGCACCCTGACCCTCTCCCCAATGCCCTGGCCCTCTCCCGTACCCCAACCCTCCCTAACATCTTGACCCTCTCCCCCGTGGCCCCTCCGGCCCCACCCCAGGCCGCGATGCACACCTGGTGAAGCGGACCTCACAGATGTTGCACATGTATGGCTTCTCCCCGGTGTGGGTCCTCATGTGCCGCGGCAGCTTCCCAGCCCCCATGATGACCTTGTGGCAGATGGGGCACTGCTGAGAGGCCTTGGGCTTCAGCTTGCGCTCCTCCACCAGCGGCCAGGGCGGGAAGAGGCCCCCCAGGTGCGTGGCACTCAGGAAGTTGAGATAGGCACCATAGTCGTTCTCCGCCTTGATGGGGCCCAGAGGCCCCCCGGGCAGCTCAGGGAACATGTCCTTGAAGAAGTCCTTAGGGAAGGGTGGCGGCGGGGGTGGGGGCAGCTCCTCCTTCTCCTCCTCCTTGATCTTCCGGTTCTTGATGACCAGGTCCAGCGGCCCACTGTCCAGGGGCTGCTCGTGCAGCGGAGCAAAGGCAGCAAAGTCCCCGGGCCAGAGGTGCGGGAAGAAGTCAGGGGCCAGTGGCGATAAGGATGGCCTCCTGTCGGGGATGTTGGCTTTGGGGTACAGGTTTTCCCTCAGCAGAGATTCAATGGAAAAGTCCCGGATCACACCCAAGTGGCCGGGGCTGCCGGCCTGGAAGGAGTCGGGGAAGCCTCCTGGCGTGTCCGAGTAGGCCTTCTCGGTGAGATGGTCGGTCTTGGAAGGACTCTGGCGGCAGTTGATATCCTGGGGGTCAGGTAAGTTCTCTTGGTCGGCAAAATCCTCCGTGTCATCGTCCTCGTCCTCCTCCTCTTCCTCCTCCTCCTCCTCCTCATCCTCCTCGTCGTCGTCCTCGTCGTCGTCGTCGTCCTCCTTGTCGTCCTCCTCCCCGCCGTCACCCCCAGGCTCCATGATCTCCAGACACACGTTCACGACGCACTGGATCTCCAGCATCCTGGCGGCGTTGAGGATGTGCTTGATGTTGGAGGCCGTGATGGTGAGCGTGGAGGTGTAGGCGAACTCCAAGATGGCGGCCAGCGCCTCCGGCTGCACGAAGTCGATCTCGTAGACATAGGGCTGGCTGGCTAAGGTGCCGGCTGTGAAGAGCTTCTTGAAGTACTTGCTGCAGGCGGCCAGCACGGAGCGGTGGGTGCGGTACTCCTGCTCCTGCACCACCAGGAGCACGTCACAGAGCAGGCCGTCATGCCGCTGCTCGTTCAGGCTGCACAGGACCTCGCTGCTGTGGTTGGGGAAGGGAATGCCGATGAGCTCGTCAATGCCATTGGCCATGTTCTCAGCCAGAGCCCTGCGGGCACACACAGAGAGGGAGACGGGGTTAGAGGACGGGCTCAGGGTCACACTAGACGTGCTCGCCACACCTGCCCTGCCTTTCTGAAGGCCGCCCTGCCTTTCTGAAGGCCGCCCTTCCCACTCGCTCTGCTTTTCCAAGTCCCACCTGCAGCTCAGAGCCCAGCTTACAAGTTGGGGCTAACCGGCAGTGTCCTTCCCTGGGCTCTTGGGCCTTGTAGTTAGGTTTCTTGTGAGCAGTGAGTGCATAGTGTCCAGAGAAGGCCAGGACCGCTTCTCCAGGGTGCAATGTCACTGGACTGCTTTGTTAACGTGCAGAGTGGACACCAGGACAGTCAGGCACAGACACCATTGCTGGGTGTGCCGTGGGAACGTCCACACGCACACACCTGCCAGTCAGCGAGCAAAGGGGAGATGCTTTCTCAGGGTGCAGGGATCCGGCTGGGAAAATGCTTTAGTTTGTTCTATATCTCTCTGGGCTCCTGGAACACACTAATGTTTTGCCTTGGCTACTCTTTGAGGCTGACTTGTGTGTCCTCGCCTCCTCCTTCCTACGTTGGAGCCCCCAACCCTCCGAGGATCTCAGACGTGACTCCATCTGTGGAGGCACAGCCTTCAAAGGGTAACTAAGGCAAAATGAGGTCCTCCGGGAGGACCCTCATCTAGTGTGACTGGTGTCCGAATGAGAGGGGACCAGGACGCAGACACACAGAGGGACGTTCTCGAGAAGACTCGGGGAGCTGATCCTCTGGCAGTCAAGGGCAGAGGCCTCCTAAGATGCCAACCTTACGGACACCTTGACCTTGGACTTCCAGCATCCCAAACTGAGAAAATAAATGTGTTTTGTTTGAAGCCCCCTATTCTGCGGCACTTTGCTAATTAGCAAGCCTAGCAAGTAGGTAAAGCTACTAGGCAGCTTCAGTCTTAGGGTCTGTTTTCAGCAAGGGGATAGGGACTCAGGGCATGGTTTGCTGGCTGACCTTACTTGTGGCTTCATCTTAGTTGATGAAGTTTCCCTCTATTTGCAATTCTTGATTTTCTCCCCCCTAACATACTGACATCCCAGGTATGTAAATCTGTGAGTCATTTCACCTAGAAATAAATATTTAAAGTCAGTTTTAAATCCAAGTGCAGCGTTATTTGCTTTCTCATGTCTGTATTATGTAACCCTCAGGGAAACAGAGCTTTGGGAGAAGCCTTGTCTATATGAAATGGGACGTGCGGCCGGCAACGGCCATCGGCCATCGGAGGGAGGAGTACGGGGCACAGAGCCACAGGCATCCCCTCCCGGGAGGGGCACCGCTCACAGCCCAGTCAGCAGATCCCACCTGCACAAAAAGCCACTGCAAGCTTCATGCCAGAGCAAACCAGGTCCTACTTAGGGCAAACCGTGACTGTGGGCCACAGATAAAATCCTAGCAAAGACCTGGCCCTGCCCCTGGTGCAGTTATAGCAGGGAGAAAGTAAAGGAACCCCAAATCTGAGAGCCCCACACCCCAGTGGGGAGAGGTGATCCTCACACATTTATCTCCTGATGTTTCTACCCTGGACAGGCAGAGGAAGGGGTAGGGGTAGAGTGAGAAGTGCCTGGAGGGGCCAGGTGCCCAGAGGGCCCTTCAGGCCATGCGGTGTCTCCTTCACTCCTCACTCATGGAGAACCCGGCCTTCCCAGCAATCCACCTGGGCAGGTGTGCAGGCAGTTCCTCAGAGCAAAGGCTTTGCTGTTTTCTTGACTTCTCATCTTTAAAGGGCCATAGACCTCACAGGCAATGCCATTACTTCTAAAATGGTCACCAGGTGTCTCCCTGTGCCGGGCATGACATGGGCTCCATGCACGCAGAGAGCAAACCGAGAAAGTCCCTGCTGTAACAGCTCATCGGGACATAAGAGCTGTAACAAGAAGATACAGCAAGGAGCATCAAAGAGGACACACAGACGGTTAAGAAGGTGCTCAGCTTCATCAGACACCAGAGATATACAACTTAAAGCCACAACAAGGCATCACTATGTCCCTATCAGAATGATCAGAATAATCACTAGTGATGGTACCAAGGATTGGTAAGGACGTGAAGAAGCTGGGTCACTCTGAGGTTGCTGGTGGTGATATAAAATGGTAGAGCCATTCTGGAAAACAATTTGGCAGTTTCGTAAAAAAAAAAAAAAATCTACTCATATAACTACCCCACAACCCAGCAATCTTGAGTATTTATCCAGAGAAATGAAGACTCATGCCCACACAAAGACCCATTCGTAAGTGTTCATAGCAGTTTTATGGATAATTGTCAATCATCAGAAACATCCAGATGGTCCTCAGTGGCTAAACATCTACACAGTGGAATACTACTCAGCAATAAAAAGGAATGAGCTAATACTACATGAAAACACCTGAATGAACCAGAGTGAAAAAGTCAATGCTGATTGTATAAGCCCATTTACATAACATTTCAAAATTATAAAATTGGAGCGTAGATGAGGGGCCAGTGGGTAAGGAGGGGTTGAGGCAGAAAGGAGGTGGGCATAGCTACATGTAAGAGGGTAGTCTGATCTTCCTGGTGATGACAATGTTGTGTCTGAGCTTTGTCTAGTCAACAGGTGGGGGGATGCTACTTAATGTTTTATAGCCTCTTTGGGAAGAAGTGCTCTGCCCTGCACCCTGGGAGCTTCCCTGGGGACCCTCGAGTACCTTGTCTGGAGGCCCAACTGACAGGTGTCCCCAAGGAGATGCTATGTCCACTGCCTTGTCTAGATATCCTCCCCCCTTCCTCCCTTTGGGCATCCGCCTTTAGGGATAAAACCCTCCGGAAAGAGAATCTCATACACACACAGTAGGAATGAAACAAACTCTTAAAAGTAGGAGAGGCTCAGTGCAGAACATTAACCTCTGGTAGGAAGGCAATAGAAAAACACAGAGAGAACAGAAATAGCAGAGGAAGGAAAGAAGGGCCGAAGACTCCCAAGTGCGGAAGGAGTTTAAAGAGGAAGAATGCAGGGAGGGTGAAGCTTTGCAGGTGTAGTCGCCATTCTAAAGAACTTGAGGCCTGCCACAGCTTCCCCTGGACTTCTGCTGCCAGTGAAATGTTCTAGAACCCAGGCATGTCCAAATAGCCCTATCTGCCAGGGCAGCACTTCTCATTTCTGGGCTGTGGTGTATTCAGCTGTACAATGAGAACATCTCACTGCACCTACTTGACCTGCATTCTCCTCCCTCCTAAGAGGAGGGATTGTGTCCTTCGTATATGAGGGGAACAGAGAATTCCCCACTTACATGGATTCTCACTTAATCCTCTCAAAACCATCTGTGGAGTTACTGAGATCACTGTAAGCCCATTTTCAACTGGGGTGAAGGCCAGGCGACCCAGTGGGGAGGCCAGTGTCAGGGCCCACAGGAGAGAACTGCAGACATCCCGAGGCTGTACAGTCCCGCAGTAGTGATTTCTCCAGCTCTATTTGATTTTTGTTTTGTGTCCTGTTCTAAAAGGAATTCAATCAGGCAGGAAGCCAGCATATATAAGGATAATCTCTCTTTTTTTTATTTTATAACAGTTTATTTTTACATCATTTTGTACATTTATATAAGAATTATCTCTACAACACCCTCTGGCTAAGGCCTGCCCCGAAGCACACCTCCGATCCTTCTTCAACCAACCCCGCCTCCCCCAAAGGTACCTCGTTTTATCCAACTTAGAGAAAAAGCAATGGTCAGGAGAGGAAAGTGAGTTGCCAGTGTCTAAGCAAGCCAGTGCCTGAGCCAGGATTTGAACGCAGCTGCATTTGACGCCAACGTCCACTCCCTTTATCATACAGCCCCCCCCAAAGTCCAGCGTGGGGGCAGGAAGACTGGAGCTGTTCACCCTAGAGGTTGTCTCTTACAGATCAGAGCCAGGGCTGAAGAGAGTGCGCTGGGGGGCCTGAGACCCAGGTGTGCAGGGCGCTCAGACTGAGTGCAGATGAGAGCTAGCCACAGGGCAGGGACTTGATTTCCGCTCTAGTCCCATCTCTGGCCTGTCCTCGCTGGGTGTCGTGAAGGTTTGACTTTTGGGACTATTCTATTGCCATGATCCCCAAGTCTAGAGCTTCCCTGGGTCCTACTCAGCTCTGCCACTCTGGGGCTCAGATGAGCTTCCATCTGCCAAGGCCTGGAGTGGGCTGGCTCCAGCCAGCAGGAGAGCTCCCACCTGCTCTCCAGCCCCCAGCAACTCTCTCGCCTGAGGCTGGAACTTCAAAGCCACTTGGTGGAGTTAGTTACTACGGAGAGGGCAGGGATGTGGCACAGGGGCAGAGAAAGGATGTGGATTTCTTTTCCAGACCTGGAATTGAGGCTGGCAGCAGTTGACTGGCCTTTAAGTAGGTTCCTGCTCTCTGTGGTCTGTGTGAGCACTGGCGTAGGGAAAGGGATAGTGGGCTGGGGCAGGAGAGAAGCAGGAGGAGGGCTGGCCCAAGCAGCTGGCCAGCCCCAGGGATCTCTGCTGGGTGTGCCCCACCCCACCCTTGGCAGTTCCCCTAAACAGGGCAGCCACACCCCTTAGCCGCGGAATGCCCCCAACCTCAGCCTCAGCTGCCCTAGAGGCTGGGGCCAGACATGTGGGCTGGAAGGCTGGGCAGGGCCACTTGGACTTCCAGCCTGCGCCCCGCCTGCTGGAGCACCCCAGGCAGAGCGCCCACAGCTGGGTGAAGCAGGCCCTACCTGCTCAGCCACCCTGCCAGGACACGTCTGGAGCCCACAGTCCTCGGCTTGGCTTCAGCTTGGTTCCTGTGAAGTGTGCTCTGAACCTCCTTCTCTGCCAAAGGTGACAGCCAGGCCTTGGAGCGGGAGGAGGCAGGCCCTCCCCGCCTCGTACAGGAGTGCCCCCCTGCCTCTTTCCCCTGAATGCCCAGTGCCCCACCCGTGGCAAGGGCAAGATGGGGGTGGGGTTGGAGGAGGGGGCTGAGGCCAGGCTGGCACTGGTGGGGTCACACTCAGCCACCAACACAGACTTTTTTCTCTGTGTCCCTGTGCCT